CTTGTGCTCTGGTTTGGTGTGTTATCTTGTGTTCTGCGGTTCTCTGTTATGTGACGTTCTGCGGTGGTTTGTTATGTGACGTTGTGTTGTTGTGTTGTGCTCTGTTCTTTCATGATATTCATTGTTTCGTCATGATATATTATGCTCTGTTCTGTTATGTCGTCGTATGTCTAGTATGGTGTGCCTGATATGATATGGTATGTTATGTGATGTTATATCATGGTCTGGTTTGTAGTGATACTGCCCATTGTATGTCATGATCGCGTTCTGTTATGTTATCACAGATTGAGACGAGTTGTGTTATGTCGTGTTCGTCGCTATGCTCTGTTGGCGTGGTATGGCATGTTCTGAACGCTGTGTCGTGATATGAAATGTTCCGTCAAGGTGTATTATGTCATGGTCGGTCCTGTTATGTTATGATGTGTTATGCCGTGTTCTGTTCTGCAATGTTCTGCCATTGCATGCTTCGTGATACTATAGTATGATGTCGTGTGTCATGAATTGTTATGTTATGTGATGGCATGGTTGCTATGTGATGGTATGTTGTGGTACGTTTTCTCATGCTATACATTGTTCTGTCAGGTTGTGTCACGATATGTTATGTTATGTCTTGTTATGTCTACTACGTTGTGCTAGTCTGTCATGATACGATAGGGCATGTTCTGTGATGTTATGTCATTGTCAGTGTTGTAATGGAACTACCATGTGATGTTTCGCCATGTTATGTAATGATCGTGTTTTGTTATGTTGTAATATACTGTGGCATGCTGTGTTCTGTCGTATTCGTCGCCACGCTCTGTTGGTGTGTTATGACATGTTCTGAACGCTGGGTCATGATCTGATATGTTCCGCCAATGAGTGTTATGTTATGTTCAGTTATGTTTTGTTATGGTATGGTATGTCGTGTTATGTTCTGTCATGTTATGCCGTGATGTGTTTCGTGTTGTTCTATTGTGCTGTGTTTGCCATGGTATTGCTATGTTATGTTCTGTCATGTTATGTTGTGGATTGCTGTGATTTGTTGTTTCTCGAAGGCGCGAGGCGGGACTTCCAGGGACTCGGGGACTCTCGGGGCAACTTGGGGTCTGGGGGCCGCGGTATGCAGTCGTGTTTGTCGAGGGCGCGAGGCGGGAGTCCCAGGGATTCTCGGGGACTCTCGGGACAACTTGGGGTCTGGCGGCCGCGGTATGCAGTCGTGTTTGTCGAGGGCGCGAGGCGGGAGTCCCAGGGATTCTCGGGGACTCTCGGGACAACTTGGGGTCTGGCGGCCGCGGTATGCGTGGGGTTGGCCGGGGGGGCTGTTCTTGAAATCTAACAGCCCCAACCTGTCGGGTGGGGAAAAAGGGTACCAGAGAGAGGGACCAGCACGAATTATTGTGTAGAAGTGAGAATTCAACAACAACAGCAGCAACAACAACAAGTATTTTCATATTAACATATCTCAAACCCTGTATACACGCCCTCTTCGTTTTCAATCGTGCCCCCTTAGGGGATATACTTGTTTTGCCTGCATCGCGTATATATTTGCAACCCCTACGGCAGGGGACGAGAAGACGGATGGAAGGAAGGGACACGGGGCAGGCAGGTTGCTGAAGCGTGCGTCCTGGATGGAGTGCGAGGAAGTCTTTAGCGATAGCGTGATTCCCAAGTAAGTCATCAGAAGTCCACACCGAGAGCGTGCTAGCGTGATTTCCAAGTAAGTCATCAGAAGTCCACACCGAGAGCGTGCTTCCTGAGTGTCTAGGGCGCTGCGTTGAATAAGTTGCGAGGAAGTCGCGCGCCAGAGCGCGATTCTGGTGCATTCTTGTTAGACGTGAGGGAGTATCAGGCGTGAGACGCTGTAGTGCTAAACCAGGGCCCAACACCGAAGTTTGGTGACCCTTTACTTCCCCTTGTAAAATACAGGGTGCGAGCCCTGGAGTGATCTCTTGATTTGAACAAATCATAGGTTACCGTGCGTGGAGGGGGGATCATCATTAATTTTATTTTAGAAGGGGGAATTCAACAATCACAACAGCAATAATAGCAACAACCGCAATAGCAGCACCAATAACTACAAAAACAACATCAACAACAACAATCAGTTTAAGGCTGCTCGCTCCTATGTGCTAGCGAGCCACCCAAGACGTACATCCCAAACCCTCGATATCCGCCCTCTTCGTCTTCGATTGTTCCCCCTTGGAGGTATAGTTGTCTATCCTGCGACGTGTATTTCGTGCAGCCCCTAAATGCAGAAGAAGAGAGGACGGATGGAAGGGACAAGGGGGAGGGAGGAGGATGGAACACGAGAGAGAGGGAGAGAGTACGGCCCGGTCGAGCAGGCGGGTGGCCGAAGCGTGCTTCTTGCAAAAATCGCGAGGAAGTCTCGAGCGACAGCGCGATATCGCGAGGAAATCCACAGCGAGAGCGTGACTCCTGAGTGTCGAGAGCGCGGCGCTTGAATAAATGATGAGGGACTCCCACGCGAAAGCGCGATTCCTGTATACATTGTGAGGAGGTCCCACGCAAAAGCGCGATTTGGGAATACATTATGAGGAAGTATCAGGCGGGAGCCGTTGTTGGTATAGTCCGGGGCCCAACATCACAGTGTGGTGGCACTTCGTTTTTATTTTTATCAAACACAGGGTGCGAGCCCTGAGAGAAGTAGTTTACTTGAAGAATACAACTGCGTCCTGGTCAGAACGCGCCCCGTGAGAGGTCCGGGGAGTAGCGGTGTCGGTGCCTGTTGGTTTTCCTAGGGACCGATCTTGAGTGGACTTGGGCCGGGCGTGACAGTCGCCAATGTCTCAACTGGCCATTCTCCAATTCTCGGCGCCTTCACGGCAGCCCGCAGAGCCACCGCTTAGGCAGCGCCTCGTATTTGGAGTCCAGTGTTGGCTTCACTGATCTAATAAAACATGATGTCTCGCAAGTGAGGGCGGCGGCAAATGCTAGCCAGCCAGGGCCAGAAAGCCAAGGCTAGCATCAGGGCTCGCACATGACTCACTCCAATGTGCGTTTTGTGCAGAACGGGCCTCGTCGGTGACGGGGGTGTCCCGCGGCGATGGTCCGTCCAGAGCATGTGGTTGCACGTGGGTCCCTCTGAGCGGCTGCCTGCCTGCTGCTCAGTCGCAGCGCGTGACGATGTCAGCGGCCATGTTTGGCGCAAGCCGCGCGAGCTCGCGCAGGCCTGGCGTCTGGCGCGAGATCCCGCCCCCCCTCGCTCAAATGCCATGCATTGCCGCGGCGGCGGCGCCCCGCTGATCCCGTGGGTTGCCGCGGTCCTCCTCTCGCGCGCTTGCACACTTGCGGCGTCGACGGGCCGGTCCGACCCGCCTGACCCATCGGGTGTGCTGGGCCAGCCCCACGAGCCGGAGCAGTCCAGTGCGCCGGGGTCCGCGGGTGATGAGGGAGAGCGAGCCCTGCGCGCGGCCCGCGAGCGGCAGGACCTCACCCTGGAGCTCAGGCAGCAGGTCCGCGAGCAGGCGGGCTTCACCCTCAAACTCAGGCGGGAGGCCCGTGAGCAGCGGGACCTCACCATGAGCCTCAGGCGACAGGCTCGCGAGCAGCAGGACCTCACGTCGAAGCTCAGGCAGCAGGCCCGCGAGCAGCGTGATCTCACCCTGAGCCTCAGGCAGCAGCTGGATCGCCTCGGCGCGGGTTGCGCCGTCGAGCCCACCGCACTGGCGGCGCAGCGGCGCCTGGATTTCGACATCGCGCCGACGCCAGGCCCGGCGACCATGTGGGCGGCCATTGTCGGCGAGTGTACGCTGGACGGCATCTGTGTGCAGAGCCCGAACTACCCGCGCAATTACGGCCCAGACGGCAGCTGCACGATCGAGGTCGACGCGACGAGCGCAGAAGCGATCGTCGTGGAGAGTTTCAGCACAGAGCTGTTCTTTGACCACCTCACTATCAACGGATTCGCATATTCGGGAACCTATGGTCCCGATGGAATTATCCCGACGGATAGCATGTTCTGGTCGGCTGACTTCACAACCGAGAGCATCGGGTGGAGGTTGTGCATGCCACAGTCAGCACTTGCGCCGCCACCCTTCCCAGCTCATCCACCTACGCCCAACGCGCCACCTACGGTCGATGCATCGACGCCTGCCCCGCCACCAGCAGCCATGACACCCAATCCCGCGCCACCGACACCAGCACTGGTGCACATGTGGACAGCTGTCAGCGGCGAGTGCACGTTGGACGGCGTTTGCGTGCAAAGCCCAAACTACCCACAGAACTACGGCGTAAGTCATGAGTGTAGATTGGAGATCGACTTGGGATCGTCAGTGCCTATTCGAGTGGAGAACTTTCACACGGAGGAGTTTTTCGATTATCTCATTGTCAACGGGGAGGTGTATTCTGGAGGTCTTGGTCCTAGCGGCGTCACACCGTCAACGAGCATCTTTTGGTCCGCCGACTCTATGTGGACCCAGAGTGGTTGGAGGCTGTGTGCCAACTCTCCTCAGTCTCAGTCACCGACGCCCGCGCCGGTGCACATGTGGGCAACTGTCAGCGGTGAGTGCACGCTGAATGGCCCTTGCGTAGAAAGCCCCAATCTACCAAATGATTATGGTGAGGATCAGACGTGCAATTTGGGGATCCACTTGCAATTAGCAGTCCCTATCGTAGTGGAGGTCTTCAGCACGGAGGCGTATTTTGATTATCTCATTGTCAACGGAGTGCAGTATTCTGGAAGTCTCGGTCCCAGCGGCGTCACACCGACAACAGGCATAGTTTGGACATCTGACTCTGTATGGACCGGCCTTGGCTGGAGGCTGTGTGCCGACTCTCCACAGTCGACGCCTGCTCCACCCACACGCGCACCACCGACACCTGCCCCGCCGCCACCAACAGCAATGCCCACAACCGCGCCACCGACATCGGCATTGGTGCACATGTGGGCAGGTGTCAGCGGTGAGTGCACGCTGGACGGCACCTGCGTGCAAAGCCCAAACTACCCACAGGACTATGGCGTAAATCAGGAGTGCACTCTGAAGATCAATGTTGGCTCAGCGATGCCCATCCAAGTGGAGAGCTTCTACACGGAGGCGTACTTCGACACTCTCCTTGTCAACGGGGTGTTTTATTCTGGAGCTGTTGGTCCCAATGCAATCATCCCATCAACCGACATTATTTGGTTTTCTGATACTGATTGGAGCCGGGTTGGCTGGAGGCTCTGCGCCGACTTTCCGCCAGCAAGCGCATTACCCACGCCTGTCCCATCATCAGCGGACGCGCCACCCGCACCTGTGCCAGCGACGCCCGCGCCAATGCACATGTGGGCAGCTGTCAGTGGCGAGTGCAGTCTGAATGGCACTTGCGTGGAAAGCCCAAATTTTCCGCAGAATTACGGTGTGGATCAGACGTGCATCTTGGAGATCAACTTTGAATTAGCGGGGCCGATCCACGTTGAGAGCTTCAACACAGAGACCTATTTCGACTACCTGCTCGTCAACGACGTAAAGTATTTCGGAACAAATGGCCCCCATGGCATCACGCCCTCATCGAGCGTATTTTGGTGCTCCGACACCCACGTTGCCCAGAGTGGCTGGAGGCTGTGCGCCGACGCGCTGACCTTCTCGCCGAGCGAGACGCCCAACTTCTGGAGCCGCGTCAGTGGCCCCTGCACCGCCTATTCCGGCTGCGTGCGCTCCCCGAACTACCCGCTGATCTACGGGGAAGATCACCTGTGCACGATTGAGCTCGCAGCACCCTCGGTGACGATTTCGGTGACGTCCTTCCACTCAGAGAACTACGCCGACTGGATCCTGATAGACGGGGTCGAGTACTCTGGGTTTGACGGCATATCCGGCACGATGGACGTGTCGTCAACTATCGTGTGGTCCGCAGATCACAGTATTCAGAAGACTGGTTGGGAGATCTGCAGAGCTGCTGGTTGCCAATCGGGGCCAATCTTTTATTGCGAGTTTTCTGTGGTGATCTGCGATGGAGTCACCGAGATCCCTGGGTCCAGCTTCCAGTCTTGCGAAAACCTCAGTCAGGTCCACATCCCACATTCCGTGACGTCGATTGGCAATTCTGCATTTGCTAATTGCATATCGCTGAAGCATGTGGACATATCGAACTCCTCTGTTGTCGCAATCGGCCATTCTGCCTTCCGCTCTTGCACCTCACTCGTAGATTTGGACATGCCTGATTCGGTGACGTACGTCGGTCCCTTCGCTTTCTATCAGTGCAGCTCGCTGCGGAGTGTCAACATCTCACTTTCTGCGACTTCCATCGGCGAGTCGTCTTTCAGCGGTTGTACCTCACTTTCTGAGGTAAACGTTCCCGGGTCGGTGACGTATGTAGGTCCTTGGGCTTTTTATTCCTGCAGCGCGCTCCGAAGAGTTCATTGTAGCGGCGTTCGCCATGCAACCGACCCCCAGAGGAAGAAGAAGGGTGCGTGATGGGGATGAGAAGGACGATACCGGCAGGTTATGGACCAGCATATGGGCCAATCATCCTATTGCCAGTTGGCTTGGCTGGGAGGTGCATGGGGTTACATTGGGGGCCATCTTGGCTCTGTCGGGGCGCGTTTGTGGCCGTTCCAATGCTTCTCGGTGCCGCGCCCACTGGGGGTCTTGGGTCTGGGTGCGAGGGTTTTAGAGCCGTGGTGCATCGTGAGGTAATCTTGGAGGGCTCTTGGGCCAGACTGGAGCCGCCTCAGGGCCGTCCATGAGGCCTGTCGAGGGCCTCTGGGGCCATGCTGGAGCGACGCTGGTGGTCTCCTGGGCCGTCTCGGGGCCTTTGGGTGGCCTTGTTGCTGGGAGGCCCGTCGTGGTGCCATCTCGAGCCCAAACCAGAAAGGTGGGGAGAGGCAAACATGCACAAAAAACATCCATATCTGGAAGGTCTTCATGCTCGGGTGGGCGCGGTCCGTGGGGCCACCCTGGAGCTTCCCTGGGAACCTCGAGGCCAGAGGAGGGCCCACGCGGCGGCCACCGTGGCCCACCTCGGGCCGTCTTGGGCGGCTTGGGGCCACGTCTGTCCAGCTTAGGATCCGGCGAGCAGTGTGTGTGTGGGGCGCGGATGGGTGTGTGTTCAGCGGCCGGTAGGGCACTGGTAAGGTCCCGGGGTCCTCTCCTCCGCAACCACCCCTTGAGAGATGGTGACCGAGCTCGGAGAACATTTCGCTTGGCACGGTGCGGACCTCCTGACTGTGATGCAGCGATGCGACATGTCTCATTGCATACGAACGGGCTCGTTTTGCCCAGTTGCGGAACATGTGGTCTCCGAAGCTTGATAGCCCCGGCAAGGGGCGCTATCGGACCTCGCACGCCTATTCACCCCCAGCAAGCGGGTGTCGACGGAGCTTGGTTGCCATATCAATGTCATCGATGAGGGTGTTTTTGCTCACTGCCCAGCACTGGTGCATGTGAACATCCCCAGCTCGGTCACCACGATTTCTTCCAGCGCGTTTCAGTCGTGTTACAGCTTGGGGTCGGTCGACATTCCCGATTCGGTTGTGGCGATCGGTCCAGAAGCGTTCTCGTATTGCAGCTCGCTTATCGCTGTGCACATCCCCGATTCAGTCGTCGAAGTCCAAGTGCGTGCCTTTGCTTCGTGCACTGCCTTGCAGCATGTCACGATTGGCTCCTCACTGCTAGCATTGGGCGCGGCTCCCTTTGAGGGTTGCTGCAACATTATTGATGTCCTCTCTTGGTCTGATAGTAGTCTCGAACATGTTTTCGACGGTTGTTCACGCATCACAAACGTGACGATAGCTGCAGGTGAAGGCCACAAGGTAATGTTCGAGAATTGCGACCACGTGGTCGCTCTGAGCATCTTAGCAACAGAAGTGCCTCCAGCGGCATGGGCAGACTGCACGTCTCTCGAACACCTGAACATCGGCAACGGTGTGGCTTATATAGGTGAATATGCTTTCAGGAATTGTTCGTTGTTAGCCTCGGTTTCTCTTGGCGACTCAGTCCTTACGATCCGGGATGGGGCATTCCAAGATTGTTCGTCGTTGGCATCAGTTGTCCTTGGGAGCAAGCTCGACTATCTTGGAATAGATGTGTTCGGCGGCTGCCATTCGGTGACCGCCGCGACGGTCCCATCGCCGCTACCCAGAAGAATTGCTGATATCTTCGACTGTTCGACTCTCACCTCTGTGACCTTCCACCTACCAGTGACAGGTATTGCCGATCAAGCTCTTAAAGATTGCACTTCGGTTGCTTTCGTGTATATGTTCGACAACGTCACCTCCATCGGAGATGATGCGTTCGCCCAGTGTTCCAGCTTGTCCACGGTCACGATGTCAAACCGAATTCAATCAATAGGTGCTCGGGCCTTTATGGGTTGTTCAATGATCACCAGCCTGTTCCTCAGCGATACCGTCAGTTCTATAGGCGGTAGTGCGTTTCGGCGTTGCACATCTTTGGCTCACATGGAGCTCCCTCCAAGGATTGCCGAAATCGCCGAATTCACCTTCTCCGGTTGTAGTGCCTTGGAGAACGTGACAGCGCGCCGCATTGATCGAAGGTTGAGTACAGGGGGCCCTTCTCACATTCAAAGTATCGGTGAACACGCTTTCGAGGATTGTTCACAACTCAAGAGTGTCGAAGGCGTCTTCGGTGAACCACCGCCGCCCCCTGCCTTTTGGGAACGCAGATGTAGCTAAACGTTGGGCAAGAGGCTGGCCTAGCTGGACTGTGTGCTCCATCGGCCGTGATGGAAGCCCTTGGGGGACCACGTGGGGGAAGAAAAGAGAGGAGGAGGAGGAGGACGAGGAGGAAGAGGAGGACGAGGAGGACGAGGAGGAGGAGGCGGAGGAGGAGGAGGCGGAGGAGGCGGAGGAGGCGGAGGAGGAGGAGGAGGAGAAGGCGGAGGAGGCGGAGGCGGTGGCGGAGGAGGAGGAGGAGGCGGAGGAGGAGGAGGAGGCGGAGGCGGAGGCGGAGGCAGAGGCGGAGGCGGAGGCGGAGGCGGAGGCGGAGGCGGAGGCGGAGGCGGAGGCGAAGGAGGCGGAGGCGAAGGAGGCGAAGGAGGCGGAAGCGGAGGGGAGGAGGAGGAGGAGGAGGAGGATGAGGAGGAGGAGGAGGGGGAGGAGAAGGAAGACGAGGACACTGAGGATGCCTCGTGTGGGCCGGGGCCTCTTTGGGACCTCTTGGAGGCATCCTGGGCCCCCTGGGGTGGTTCTGGTGGGCCCTGGGGAGGCTGCCACCTCTGGCGGCAATCTTGGGGGCCCATCTCGGCCGTCTTGGGGCTCTCTTGGGGCACGTTGGGGGCCGTCCCGGAGGTCTGCGGGGGCGTCACGCGGCCCTCTGGGGGCCGTCCTTGGGCACGTTGGGCCGCCTTTGGGCCCCTTTGGTTGGTATCTGTTGGGGTGCCTCCGGGGCTGTCTTGGTCGGGTGTTGCTAGAAGTACCACTGGCCCAAGGTGCCCCCAGGATCTTCAGGGTGGCCCAGACGGCCTCCAGGGCACCCTTCGCGAGGGCCAGAGGACTCTAAAGCGAGCTGAGGGACGTAAGGAGTGGAAGCGAGCGTGCGCCCGCGGCCGCGTCGGCTCAAGCGGCCGGCCGCCCAAATATGACTGTGCCTCACTGCGAGGCACACAGTCGCTATCGAGACCAAAAGGATCTTCCGATTGCGTAAGATGGCACATCCTCTCCTACTGGGTCTATCGCTTCTACGGTACAACAGAGCTGGAGCTTGGCTTCGCCTAAGGCGAAGCTGCTGGCTGGGCCTCCCAGCCCCCCTTCAAACTTAGTAGTGGAGCTGGCCTATGATGGTCAGCTCTTGCTCTACTCCTCACCATCCACGGCACTATCTGGTGAACAACGGACATGGTGGAACATCAGGGTGCAGTGGGTTTGCACGCGACAGGGGTATGCTGGGCTTGTACTTCGTCCTCGAATGTGTTGTATCATGCCAGCAGTCAAACCAATGTGTTTCAAATTGGCGGCCTGCGTGGTGAGCGTGTCCAGCAAAGACGGCATGCTCGAAGCCATGCGCTCGGACTCCTCACCGCAAGTAAGCTCGGTGTAGCTTGATCACATAGCAGTGTCTCTTCTCAAAGACGTGGGGCGTGGTCTTGCTGGTGCCGTAGGGAATCGCCGTGTTGAGCAGAGGCGTAAACAATCTTACCCATCGCTAGCACCATGTGATGGCACTATGAAGTTGTTCACGTTTCTCCAAAGCGCGTGTTTCGTGTACCCCGTCGTCCATGAGTTGGAGACTGAGGTGTTGAGTCTGCTCCGTATCGCTGTGCGCAATATTACTTTTGAGGGGAATCACATTGTACATCATAATAGTGATGCCGTAGTTAGCGACCTTGAAGTTCTCAGGTGGCCCGTGTGCTGGTCACAACAGATGACTGGTTCTACTTGGATATTTGCAACTCAACCAAGCAGCGGCGGCTGGCATCGTGTCGTCTGGCACCATCCTCCGCCCAATGTTCCAAGGATCGGCTGCTGAAGAACTTCGCCGCAGAGCCAGCGAGGCCGTCCCACGGATGCCCCATCATGCGAGCATGCATGAGAGATCTCGAGCCTGAGATGTTTTTCGATCGTTCTCCTCTCCTCATACCCTGTATGATCCGCGCCACTTCGTAGTATTTGATCGCAGGACTGCACCCAAACGGTGTTTTGGCGATTTCGTGGGCCGTTTTCGTTTCGACTTCATTTTGCGGTAGCGGTGGATTGAAGACAAAACGAGGGAAAACGAAAACAAAACGAAAACGAAAAAGAAGCGTGTAGGTTCAGCCCTGTTTGATCGTGCCGAACACGCCCCTGCTGATGTTGATTGCCGTGGGGTTGCCAGCAATGATCTCCGTCGGTATCTCCGGCGGCGTGGCGACAGCGACCCGAAGGCTCCACGTGCCCGCCACCTCGGAGCCTGAGTCGGGTGTGGCGCCTCGGAGCACCTCCCGCGGTGCGAAGTCGCAGAGCTTGGCGCCCATCACACCCTCGGCGCAGAAGTCTCCTGGTTCAGCCATGTCAATCTCACACAGTCCCCATGCAGCTTCATCCGGGCACCCATTGAAACATGAGCCACCAGGAAAAACGAGTGTGTGCGCTGCGTCTCACTCGCTGGACTCTGGAACCGACTCCAGGAATGCCCTTGTTGACTCCGCAAGCGCAAGGTCAGTAAAGATCCATGCGGAGCTCGGGGAGGGGGCGCTGGCTAAGCTCGTCCAAAATCGAAGCATTGCCAAATTCACAAGTAGCATTGTGTTTCCAAAGACAGCCCTCTGCTTCTCCACCTTCGTCGCGTAAACCGTCACCGCGTTTCCTCCTTTCGTTTCCTTCCGGCTTTGGTTTCATCCTCCCCTTCTGGCCGCTCTCCTTGACTCCCAGCCAGTGCAGACTCCCAGGCCGCCTCCAAGTGCCTGGGACAGCGACTTCAGCCTCGATGGGGTTTAGGCCGTTCTGAATGTCCCGCCTGACGGTGTTGATGCTGGCGCCTGGGCGGGACTCGGACGCCTCCTTCCGATGGTAGGTGCCAGTCTCGCTCGAGTCGTTGTTGGGCAGCTCGATCTCGCTACGGGGGTGCAGCTTCTTGAAGGTCTGGCCGTGTCTCCGTGGTAATTTTGTTTATGTTGCCATTCGCGCGTTTTCTGGTCCCGCTCATGGGTATGTGTATGTCCCTTCTCCCGCTGATCGTAAGCCTGGCCGTTCCGATTCCCACCATTGTGCCAGCGTTGATAGCCCCCGTGGGAGTTCCAATTGTTGTGTTGGCGTTCCAACCGTTGTGCTGGCATGGGAGTTCTTCGTGATGATCTGGATGTCGTTTATGCGTGTTGGCTGGCCTCGTCGGGCAGCATACTCAAGCCGTCGCAAGGCCTATCTGGATGTGTAGCTCTGGTCGTATTCGTTAGTCTGGGAGCCATTGCAGTCGAAGGCGCTGGTGTAGGCCTCGTCGCCGCGCGTGGGTCCTGCAGTGGCGGGCTCCACGTCGTGGACAAGAAAGAGGCCTCTCTGGGCCATTTGGATGCCTCTTCGGGGCCTTTTGGATGCCTACTTTGGGCCTCTCGAGGCCTCTTGTGGTCCAGCTGGCGGTCGGTGTGTATTTTTGGGTGGAGGGCCCCAAATGACAGTTCACGCTCCCCTTTTGGAAGCCGATCTTGAGGGCCTCTTTGGCAGTCTTGGACTGGGCAGTCTTGGATGCTCTACAGGTTGAAACAGCCGTGCGGAGCGGATGTCACGCAAAAGCCACGAGACTTTGACGACTTGGGCTTTATGGGCTGGCCCCAGGGATTCTTAGACGGTCCAAAAGAGCCAGAGAAAGGTTCTGTGGAGCCATCTTAGGACACGTAGGGCCAACCACGCCCACAAGGCACTGGGGAAGTCACGTGGGGATCCCCGAGAGCGCAGCATGAGAGCGCCAAAAAGCGCTTGCGAATTCAACGAGTAGCGGGGTGGGCCCTGAACAAGTTTCACAACACGCCATACTGAGGACTCTTGGTGACCCGAAGACACTTCTCTCAGTGTCTCTGGCACAGTGGCGGATTGACGTAGGGGATGATTTGAGTTTTGTTGGGAAGCATGCTTTTGCTGGCTGCTCATCTCTGCCATCGACACCAAGTTTGAACAGACTTACAACCCTGGAGGAGTATGTGTTTGCTGATTGCACTGCGTTGTTACACGTGTTTATTCCTGAGGGTGTTGTTGCCATCGGTCACAGTTCATTTTACAAGTGTGAGTCTTTGCAAAGTGTTGAATGGGGCGTCGAATTTGGACTGGTGAGTAACCACACGATTACAATCGGCAAGTCCGCTTTCGGGTATTGTTCATCGCTGAGGAACTTGACCATTCCAGCTTCAGTCACATTGATAGAGGAAGACGCATTTCAACATTCTGGGCTGCACTGGGCAACTGTAAACATATTTCCACGGAGCGGACGTGTGATTGATGAGTCAGCGTTTCCTCCCAGCGCAGGTATCGTCACAGGATGCGATCAAGGGTTCGAATTAACTATCGATGGGTGCGCGTGTCAGCCGGGAAAGATGTTCGCAACATCTTCTGAATGCCGTCAGTGCGGAGACCATTTCGATTGCCCTGGTGGTCATCTCCAGAGACATGTTGGCGTCGATACGACAGTCAGAGTCAAAGAGGGTTACATGACTCTTTCAAGTGACCCGTTTTCAGTTTATCCAGTTGCTTGCGGCAGAACCCGCCACCGTGGCAGCGCAGCAGCACAGAAGAAATGAGGTTGAGTTCCAGACCCGCTTCAGCTCAGGGCCATGTCTGAATTGGCGCTGGTCTTGGAACCCCCCACCGTGTCCGCAGCTTCGGTGTCCTTCCCCTCATCCTCCTCCTCGGTCCTTCCACCTCAGCAACCGTGGCTCACGACGGCCCCACTGTCGGATGATCAAGGTCACGGGGGTTGTTCGGGCTGTTCCTTTAGCCTTCAGCCCCCCCCTCAATGCAGCCACTACCACGGGCGGACGTTCTGTGTTATGGGTGCGCCCACAAGGCGCCACAGACCAGGGGGGGTGTTTCGGGCTGTTCCCTTAGCCCCAAGGACCCCCCAAAACGGAATCCAACACCATGTGCACTGTAGCCTGCGCAGGCGCCCCCGTTGGCTGCGGGTTGCGCCATCAAGGCTCCACACACCACCAGGGGCGCTTTGTCTCCTGACGGCCCCGCCGTTGGATGCTTAAGAGCGTCGTCAAGGAACCGCCAGTCAGGTGGTTTGTTCGGGCTATTTCCTTGGCCCGAAGAACCTCCCCCCTGCACCAGAGCTCCCACCACGAGCAGTCATTTTCTGTTCTGGGTGCACCAACAAGGCGCCACAAGCCAGGGGGGTGTTCGGGCTGGTCCTCTGGCCCGAAGGACCCCCCCCCAAACGGTGGACACCACTGTGCACACTGTAGCCTATGTAGGCGCCCTTGTCGGTGATTGGTTGCGTGTGTCCTCAAGGCGCCACACACCACCACGGCAACCTCAGGGTAATGATCGGTTCGTCTTCTGCTCTTCGTTCTCTTCGCTGGTCTTTGTCAGGCACCCGTGCATCATTGGTTTACCTTTCAAGGGGTCGGGTCCTTACCTTTCGGCTTTCGGAGGCCTCTGGAAGAGGTGGCGGGCCAAAAGGAAGGGTCGCCGCGCCCTGCCCATCCAGGGGTCCACGGGCGGGCACGTACAGCCGGCCCATGCGAGCCGAGCCCGAATTCCCGTTGCACCACCAGCGCCGACGCTTTTGTCCTCTCTTTCTCTTTCTCCCTCTCTCTCTGGATGGGGATGAGAGGAAGTAGGAGGAGGGGGCTTTGGACACCGTACTCACAAGGTCATTTGAGGAACGCGTGCGGGCACGTAATTGTACACCAGACAGTTCGGCGTGCTGACCACACCAGAGGGCTCATCAATCAGAGCGTGGAGCACGCACGTTCCGCATTGTGGGGGCGCATTCGCATGCGACCCCGGCCTGTTCCCATGCGAGTACCTATTGCACCACACAAACTCAGGACTCTAAGGATGAGACTTCCAAGCGGTCGTGGATCACCGAACTCTGTGGGTCGCTTCATCCTTACAAATGGGCTTAGGCGCCCTGAAGCCTATAGCATACTTGGCAGTCCCTCTTCCCTCCTCCTGCTCCTCCTCCTCTTCCTCCTCCTCCTCCTTCTTCTCCTCCCCTCTTCGTTCCTCCTCCTGTTCCTTCCTCTTCCTCCCTTTTCTGCCTTGAAGCACTTCGGAGGCTCATCGTTGGCGGGTTATTTGGAGGCGTTTTGGGGGCCCTTTGGGGTTCGGTGGCAGAATCTCGGGAGCCGAGCTTGGGGTCGTCTTGAGGCACTCCGCCGTCTGGGAGCCCACTGCAAGCCCTGTGCCCTCGGGGGACCGCCAGCCGGGAGCTGCGACCACTTGCTAACCCCACCCACCCTTGCGGGTCCCTTCCACGCCGGGTATCTAGAGGCAACCTAGCTGCGGTGCGAGGAGATGGGGTCGAAGGATCGCGCCGCATCGACGATGCATCACCGATGCATCAAGGATGCATCAGCGATACATCGGCGATGCATCGGCGACGTCGGCGGGTAATCTTAGGATCTGCCTTGGACCGTTTGCGGATCTCGGGGCGAAGTTTGCCCGAGTATCGGATGTCGGCGACCGTCAAACATCGATTCAGAGACCTCCCAGAAAGCTGTGCCAGCGTGTCTTCGCCAGCTTGCCAGAGAGCTGGCCCAGCTTCCTGCGCATGTGACCCCCTCCAGCGTTGACGGAAGCAGATGGTTCAGGCCTGTCTTAAGATACTTCCGGGAAGCTGGCCCAGATTTCTTGAGTCATGATTTCCTTGACCATATTCTCGGCTGTGTCGGATCTTGGCCAGGAGGGAAAGAAACACACAGACACACAACGCAGCGCCGACTCCCAGAAAGAGAGTGGGGGAATGGAGCCTCTGGGACGTGGGGGGGTGGTGCAGACGGGAGCTTAGAGAACACGGGAAGAAAGAGGGGGGAGTTTCCCCCTGGGGACCCGTGCCTGTCTGCTGTTGGTGCGACCCTGGGCCCCCCCCTTGATGCCGGGCGTGCGGGAGAGAACGGTGGGGCCCCCCCGCCCGGGACCTCGGCACCCGGCAGCGGGGAACAAATGCCTGACCGCTCCCCCGCTCCGCCCCCGAAGCTCGGAGAGTCGGCACGCGCGGGGGACACCGCGGTCGAGGCGCAGCTCGTCAGACCCACCGCCAGCCTGGAACATTTTGTTGGGAGGGGGGAGGCGTTGGCAGCTGACTGTGGCGTGCGTGTTCGCCGCGTTTTCGTTCCGAGGTCTGCTGTGCTTGCGCGGGCGAGAGCGAGGGCGAAGGCGAAGGCAGCGCGCAGGGAAGGGCCACGGCATGCCGGCGCGGCAGGGGGGCCAGCACGCGCCACAAGGTTCCCCCCGTCCGCTGTCGCGGCCCCTGACCGTGGCTGTCTGAGGGGGGGGCGGCCTCTTGCGTGGCCCCCCTTCGCCCGCCTGCTGCTCCTCCTCCTCCTCCTCCTCTTCCTCCTCCTCCTCCTCCTCCTCCTCCTCCTCCTCCTCCTCCTCCTCCTCCTCCTCCTCCTCCTCCTCCTCCTCCTCCTCCTCCTCCTCCTCCTCCCCCTCTTCGATGCGGAATTTGGCGTGGATGGCGAACGTTGCGCAGGATGTTCGTTGTGTTGGGCCTCCCCGCTGGAGAGGTTGCGCTGGGCGTCTCTTGATGGCAGATTGGGGAGAGCCTGAAGCCTCTGGAGGGTCGTGGGCCGATCTTCGGCTGGTCTTCAGATACCCTTGCAGCCTTCTTGAGGCGCTCTCTTGCCGTACTGGAGTTGTTGTGATGTTGAGAAGGGCGCCATTCGTGCGCCGAGAGGGGTCGGCCAAGGCAGTGAACATCACATTAACACCTCATATTGTGCAGGCACGGTGGCGGATAAGTGCGTTGAGACGCTGCGCTGTGCGGGGGACCGCCAAGTATTGCATTCCATGTGCACTGCAGGCTTCGATTCGGTATCTCCACGGTGTGCAGTTTGCTTGCCGGACTTGTACCTAAGCGATGGGAGATGCAATCCGTGCAAAGACGTTGATGCTACACTTGTAATGGCCAAGTGGCTGGCGAGTGCTGCGGCCCAGCTTGCATTCAACACCGGACTTTACATCCACGTCAACAGGCCCAAGTCGGCGACGTCTGGGACTGTTGAGTCGTTGATCGACTTTATCCAGATTCTCCAGACTCTCAGCCGTTTAGACATCGTTGCGCCGACCGTCCTTGAAAGGTTCTTCGACTACCTGAATATATGATGGGCTTAGCCTTCTTCCGCCAGCCCCAAGGCGGAGCCATTCTGATAGTATGTTGGGGTCACCGTTGGGATGCCTTGGGGCTGGTTTGGGCCGTCTGGGAGCGTCTCGTGAGTGAATCATGTGGCCTCAGTGTGTCTGTCGCCTTAGAGATTGTGTGACTGAACCTAAATATGGGCGGTGGCCATTCGGGGAACTCCTAGGGCATCCCTGGCGATGTTGGTGTTGTCCTGGGGCCTCTGAAGGCCACCTTGAGCGACATTGGATCTAGAGTTAGGCTTGGGGCCCATTAGGGGGCCGTAGTGGGGGCACATTGGGGCCCCTTGGGCGGAAAGAAAGCAACTGACAGAGAGAAAGTCCAGATTGGTCCGCATTTTCTCTTCCCTCTCGCAGCTTGTTGGGTCCCTCTTTGTGGGTCACTGGGGCCCCCATTGAGCCGTCGTAGGCACCTGGGGCCTCCCGGAATCCTGGAAGCCTCTTGGGGCCGCTTGGCCGTCCAGCGGCCTCCCTGGCCGGGTGGTTTCGTGGGCGCTTTGCCCTCCCACCCCCACTCCCCCCTATGTGGTCGACAGAAGAAGAAGAAGAAGAAAAAGAAGAAGAAGCAGATACAGAGGAGCCAAGAGGCACGAGACAGGACGAGAACACGCATTCGCCTCGGGGGTCCCTGTCTGCGCGTCTGTGCTCTGGCAGCGCCTCAGCTCCTGAGCGTCCGGGTGTGACCGTGTCCGGTCGACAGTCCGGGCGTGGACGGGCCCACGATGCACCCTTTGGCCGGTGCCCCCGTCCCCCTCTGGGAGGCCCCGGTGCCATACCTGCTGCATCGCGATGGCATGGGGCGACGGAAAGAGGCGCGTCCACCGCCCCCACGCCACGGCAGTGCTACGAGAGAGGTCCCGGCGATCGGGGAGCGGACGGGGCCCCGCGACACATACCCACGGCGGGCCTCCCTCGGGAGGACCAAGCGGCATGCTCGTCTCATCGCGATGATCACGGGGCTCTGCATAAAGACGCCTCTATTCTTAAAGGTGGGCACGTCCCTCTACAGGAGGAATATTCAAAAAGAGTCAAGGAATATTCCGGGGACGATGTTTAAAGTTTTTGTTTGAATATGTTTTCTTTTGGCTATGTTTCTGTATTCGGAGCGAACACTGTATTCGGAGCGAACATTCATAAACGTCATCTGCGTGCGTTGGAAAAACAGTTGTCTTTGGGCTATTGCTTGTTCTCCTTCAAAATCCGCGGGCAGGAGGACATGCCCGACTTAAATCTATCCCGCCAAAGCGGTCGTCCTGGCTTCGAGGGGTCCCGACAAGCTCGGCGCGGACGGGCTCGTGAAGCACCCCTTGGCGGGTGCCCCTCGGGAGGCTCCAGCGCCACCCCGTGCCACGTCGCGATGGCCACGGAGCTCTGAAACCAGAACGTGCCCACCCCGCCAGAGCTGCCGTCCTACCCTCTGAGGTATCCAGGCAATCTCGGTGCAGAGGGGGCCGTGACATGCCCGCTGGCGGCTCCCCTCCGGGAGGCCCAGGGTGCCATCCGCTGCTACATCGTGAGAGAGAGAGTCGTTGACGCCTCGCGTATCCCCACCAGCGCATCCAGAAACGATGCCCCTGAGAGTTGTCTTGGGGATGAGGCTTACGGAGGGGAGGGGGATGAGGAGGAGGTTTAAGGAGGGGAGGGAGATGAGGAGGAGGAGAACGAGAAGATGCATGAGGAAGAGAATGACCAGGAGGAGCAGGAAGGAGAAGGAAGAGCCCTACACCGAGGAGGAAGTAGAGGAGAAGATTCATCGAAGGGAGGAGGAGGACGAGGCTTGCGCGGATCTTCTGCTGCTTGGAGAGTTCTTGTGGCTATCTTAGGTTTTTTGGGTGGCCTTTGGTGAGATATTCTTACGGCCCTCTCCGGGCCGTACCGTGTCCCCCTGCTCGGGGCTCTCTGGCAGGGTCCCGGGGCGATTTGGGCCCCCCGGCCCGATCGGCAGCGTCCGCATTGCGCCGCCTTCGCCAGGAAATTCGCCCCAGTCCGTCCGTTGGTTGATCCGCATCTTTCTTCTCGCTTGCCTCGCGGCACTCGCAGCTGCACATGATTGGGCCATTCGCCACGACAAGTTTGACAGGGATGGATGGGGGGTGTTGTCATGGTTCCAGGTCTGCCCCCCGCCAGGTGGGGGACAGAGTTTGTGCGAACATGGACCAGTGACCAGCCCACCCCCCTGGACACGGGCAGAATGGGCTTACGAAGAGGGAACAGCACACTCGTTGCACCGCCCGCTCCAAGAGAGCTGTTGGGATAGAGGGTGAGTTCGTCTCAGCATGATGAGTTTGAGTACGAGTGAGTATGAGCACGAGGAGTCTCAGAGTGAGTGAGTATTAGCATGAGCGAGTCTGAGTATGAGTGGTCAGGGTATGTGCGCGGCAGATCTTGAGTGAGGTTCAGTTTTGGAGGTCTGAGTCAGCGAGTCTGAGGGTGAGATAGTCTGAGGGTGAGAGAGTCTGAGCGTGAATTGGTCTGGGCGTGTGGGTATTTAGCATGGGTGGGTCTGAGTCTGCGTGCGTCTACGTGTTAGTGCGCGCGTGAGTGAGTCTGGGTATGGCACTGTGGACGGAGGAAGCTGGGGTCAGTGACTAGGTGAGAAAGCGAATGGCGGGGGCATCAGACTAGTCACAAGAGCCCGCAAGATGGCAAGAAGCATCAGCTCAGCAATGTAACAGTCCAGCAGGCACATTCTTGGCTTGGCATTCACAGAGGGGGCCGGCGGATACTCACCATCCCAGGCATATTCGAGATTCTCGATTTGAAACCCGAGTGTTTGTTTGGAAGTTTTGGTAATACGGTCATTTACCAGATATTGTTGCATACGTCGACGCCGCTTCTACTCTTCGCGAACATTGCGGTGATGCAAATGCTGTTCGTCTCCTGCAATAGGACTCTGAGGCGCGATTTTGTACACAACTTGGTGTGCCTCTTACTATCAGGTTTGTTCGTTTATTTGATGACCTTGTCTCTTTCGCTGTTCTACACAGAACGAATGCCCAACGGCAAGGATATGGTCATCGCTTTCCCACAGCTGGAGTATGGTTCTCCTTCGTGGGTGCTCTATTTGCCGATCAACTTGTTTGCGACTTGCGCGTATGGGCTCACTATCTATACATATGTCGCTTATACAGTGTTGACTGCGCCCAGGCGGATTGGCACCGAACGCGGGTTCCTTGCTCGGTACAGGTTCTGTTTCGACACGAAGCGCCCAGACCGCTGGTGGTGGGTTATCGTAAAGATGTCTTTCGGGTTATCCATCTGCCTCGTTCAGGTGGTACTTCCTGCCAACAATGTGCATTCTCATATCTACACAAGCGTGCTCGCCATGTTCACGATGATTGTGATATTGTACGGTGCTTGGCCTTGGAAGTTCGATTCCAATAATTGGGTGGAGCTGATGTGCAAAATTACGTTGGCTGTCCTCCTGATGCTCACGACCTCATTCATCGACGTGAACAGCATCTCACAAGTAGAGCGCGACCGAATGAATAATGTTTGGGCGCACATCATCGTGTGTACTGTGATCGGTGCTTTCGCAGTATGTGCTGCTCTGTTCGTGGCGGACATCGCCGCACCCATGCAGAATGTCCGCGTAAAGCAGGTCAGAACGGCACGAGCCATGTGGCATCTTCGCGACATGTCACTCGCATTGTTGATGATGCCAGAGAAGGAGTACGCCAAGAGGCTGGCCACTGTTGGTGATAGCGACCGAGCTTTGCTGCTGGAGGTGACGAAGAACATCAAGAATGTAATCTTTGGTCAGCAGGAGAGCTCGCGTTGGATGAATCAGCGGTTGATTGCTGGACGGGAGTACGAGGTTTGGGACCACGGTCAGCGGGTACTTGGGTTTCTTCAGGAGTCAACGTCAGGCCGTTTGCAAGAGAGATTGGATCAGAGCATGCGTTTTCGCAGGCGTTTGCTGGAGCTGGCGGTGGAAATATCGGAGGCAGGGCGAGCGCCACCACCCTTGACACGCAGCAGCATCCTCGCAGCCCACTCGGCAATAGGGGTCGCTTTGCAGCCGAGGCGCCGTCTCTCCCGAAATGAGGAAGAAACCGGCACGGCAAGCGGGATCCTTGACCGCGCGAGGAGCAGGATATTCTCAGCACCAGGATTGACACATGCTGCATTCAGCAGGAAGATCTCGAGCTTTGCGAAGCTGAGCATGTCTGAGGAAGAGGTCGATACTCTCTTCGGTGTTCTGGACAGCAACGGCTCGGGCACCGTGTCCCACCAGCAACTCACCGAATTGCTGGCGGCCTTGGCACCCGAGAAGGTGCTGCGTGCACTAGCTCGTGACGGTGAGAACGGCGATGCAGTGGATGCTTGGAGAAATACAGGGTCTGAGAGACATGCATGCGTGACTCCCTGGTCAAGGGATGAGCAGGAAAAGGAGGAGGAGAGAATCAGAGGTGCGCCCCCAGACGCGGCCGCAGACCTCGTTCGCTCGCCAGAGTGGCCGTGGCTCTGGCCGAGCTCCTGGCCTTCTGTAGCCGCGACGACCGACGTCATGCCTTCGAGCACCCTGGCGTTCGGAGGCGCGGAGACAGCTGCAGGCTCCCGCAGCGCCTAGGGCGCTCCTGCTTGGGAGGGCCAGCGGAGACAGCGGCGGCTCTCCCGCCCGGACGAGGAGCCTCTCCGGGACCCAGCCCGACCCGCTGGCTCGGCGCGGGACCGGCCGGGGGGACGAGGAGCCTCTCCGGGGGGCCGAGGGAGGAGGCAGGCGCGCCAGGGAGGCCCGCCGCGACCTCGCCTGGCCCTCCTCCGACGGAGGGCCCCCCTCGGGCGGAGCGCGCCGAGGGTGCCGATGCGCCGTCCGGGCGCGGCTCGGCGAGCGCCCCTCGGGCCCCCAGAGACCGAGTCAAGTCAAGGACGCCTTGCACCAGACGCTGCGTGAGCAGGGGTGAAACGCATAGTAGACAATCACCGGATGCAGCCAGAATGCCTTCAGCTTCCGGCCCAAGCCTTCACCCCGGAGACCAGGACGCAGATAAGCCAGGACGCAGAAAACCGAGGACCAGGATGTTGGGCGTTCTGGTCTAGTCAGTGTGTCCGGGTTTACGGGGCCTTGAGCCCCGAGGTGTCGCCTTCCTGACCCGCAGGGTGTCAACGCGGAGCTCGCGACGGCAGCGCCCTGGCGGCGCGAGGAGCGCCGCGCGAGGAAACTCTGTCCAAGGTTGACGCTGCAGAGGGGCGACGAGGGAATCGGCTAGAGATGCGGGGGCGGTCCACACAAGCGAGCCCGCGGGACTGCAGAAGATCCTCGCGGTGCAGGCGCGGATGGGGGTGCAGCGGGCGTTTTTTGGGTTCTCGGGTCATGGCTCGGGTCTCCTGCGGCCTGGCGCGGCGATTCGGGCACCTCCGAGACGCCATCGGCGAGCTGCAGCTGCTGGAGAGCATCCCGAGGCTGCAAAACAGCCAAGACCCCACGAGAGCTCCCGAAAACCTCGAACCTCGAACCTCGACTGGCGATGCGCCGTCTGGGCGCGGTGCTCTTCGGCAGCCCCCCCTTCCCGTGCGGCCGAGGCCACGAGCGACCGCGCGAGAGGCGGGCTCGGGCAGGATGCTGCACTCCCCCTGCGGCGCTCTTCTGCGGCGGCCGGCGCTCGGCGGTTCTCCTCGGGGATTTTCCACCGCTCGGCGCAGTGCTCCCCCGCCGCCTCCCCTCTGTTCATGTCTCCTTTTTCCCTGTCCGCACCCCGATGCGTGTGGGGGTCGGGCGGGCCTGGCCGCTGGAGGCCGCCTCACCGCCTGTGGTCCTGAAGCTGAGCATGCGCAACTGGTTCACAGGTGGAGCTCCTCCTCCTCCTCCTCCTCCTCCTCCTCCTCCTCCTCCTCGTCCTCCTCCTCCTCCTCATCCTCATTCCTCCTCCTCCTCCTCCTCCTCCTCCTCCTCCTCCTCCTCCTCATTCCTCCTCCTCCTCCTCATTCCTCCTTCTCCTCCTCCTCCTCATCATCCTCCTCCAGCTGGTTCACGGGTGGAGGGCGCTCTTTCGGCGGCCGGCGTTCGGCGGTTTTCCTTCGGGGTGTTCCACCGCTCGGCGCAGTGCTCCCCCGCCGCATCCACCCTCCGTTCCTATGTCCTGGTTCCTTGTCCGCACCCCGAGGCGTGCGTGGGTCGGGCGGGCCTGGCGTTTCGCTTTGAGATTTCCTCACGGCTCATGATCCTGAAGCTAACTAAGCTTCAGTCGGGCGTGTCCCTCTACAGGGGAACTATTCAAAAGTAGTCAAAACATTTTCAGTGGACGTTCTTTTGTTTAATGCTACTTCGTTTTAGTATATGTTTTGAAGATGTTAATAGATTTGTCGTTCCAAAGCCACCTGTAGGGGAACAGGCCCGACTTGAAGCTAAGCATTTGCAGCTGTTTCACAGGTGGAGAGCGGCCCGCTTGCACAACGTGGCTCTCGCCAGTGCGCCGCGCACACTCGCCTTCAAATGTTGCAAGAGCTTCACGGGCCGCTCTTGCATTAGCTAGCGCCGCGCACTTGCTTGTTGAACAGTTGCAAGAGCTACGCGGATGGATGGCGGTTCCATACAAAACGTGGGTCTCGCCTTTGCGCCGCGCACATTCGTTGCAAGAGTTAACAACAGGTTTAAGGATTATCACGGTCCACATCCCCAACAATTATTTTGGCACGATGTCGGCACGTCAGGGTGCAACAGTTACGTTGATTCGCGGCGCTGAAATCCCAGGAATGGTGTTCTTGCGAGTCTCAGGATCGTAAAACAGCAGTGGCAGTGATTCGTGGCGTTGAAGTCCCAGGAAAGGTTTTCTGGCGCAGTTCTGGATTTTCAATCGGTTGTCTTCCAACGGAGTCCTTGCAGGAGCTTATGGCGAGAGAGAGAGAGGGAGGGTTTATTGCAAAATCGTTGACGAGTCTTGAGTTTACACTGATCCTCTTCCTCATCCTCCTCATCCTCCTCATCCTCCTCCTCTCTTCTCCTCCTCCCTCCTCCTCCCTACTCCTGCTGCTGCTCCGCCTCCTCCTCCTCCCTATTCCTCCTCCTTCTCCTCCTCCTCCCTCTGCCTACGATATTCTCGCGGCTGTTGGCGCCCTTCCCCTCCGGACAGAACGTGGACGCAGTATTTGGCGCCGCCGTCCCCACTGCCGTCGAGTCTTTGGCTCGACGCCGGGCGTTGAGCTCCATTTTCTGGCACGCGCGTTTCTGCGTACGCGTGCTCTGCCGCCTGTGGCAGGCCTGATTCTCGCACGCACGTTGCTCTGCGAGGCTCGGAGGTTGACTCTGGCAACACCAGAGAGGCTCGGTTCGTTTCACTTCCTTTTCCCTGCGCGACTTGGGCACAGCGCCCGGCATCAGCAGCGGTTGGATCGGCGTCGGGCAGGAATGCGCCGCAGGCGCAGACGCTGCAGTGTCACGGGCTCTTCAAGTCGTGGGGATCGTCACTCGTAGGAAGAAGGTTGTGGGCTGGCACTTGCATCATCTGGCCGCAGAAAATGCGGTGTGGAGGTTCTCTGTTCTGCTCCTCCTCGTCATCGTGCTTGCTCTCCTCGCCCAGAGGTCTCCAGAGATGCCCCAGGGGCCCAGCGGCCCCCGGAACCCTATGGATGAAGAGCCAGGGCCACCAAAAGATTCGACCTTCGAAGGTGCCCCTCCTCCTCGTGCTCTTCCCTCCCCGGGCCCCGGCCACAGCCCGCTCACAAGCGGCCCCCGAACCCTTCGTTGGGCCCTCTTCGATGGTCGCTGCCTTCTCGTCCGAGGTTGGTTTCTGACGGCCCCGACTGCCCGAATCGGGCGCCCGGAGGCTGAAATCGGGAGCAATTCCTTGCGATTTCGGGGCGTCTCAGGCTGCCTTAGGGACCTCCTGGCCTCCCTTGGGGTGCCCCAGCCCCCGTAGCCTCTGCGTGAGCTCCGCGTAAGCTCCGCGGAAACGCGGAAGCTCCTCGTAAGCCCAAGGTACTTCCAAGACGATTGAAGAGAAGCCCAAGATGACCGCAAGCCGGCTCCAAAAGCCGCCAAGAGGCCCCAAGAGGCTCCCCAAGAGGGCCTCAGGAGGCAAACAGACGCTCAAGAAGGCTCCTGGAGGCTATAAAGAGCGCTCCATGACGGTCCAAAATGGCCCAAGAGCGCTCCAAAACGCTCCGAGACTGCTCAAAAGCGCTCCAAGATTGTCCAAGATGGCCCAAGAGCGTTCCAAGACAGTCCAAGAGCACCCCAAAACCTTCGGAGACGTCCCAAGAGCGCTCCAAGACGGTACAAGTAAGTTGGCCTAAAGGCGGCCCAAAAGGCCTCGAAGACGCTCCAAGAGGACTCCCAAGAGGGCCTGAGGAGGCTAAACGCGTAGATTTGATTTAGGTCGTTGGAAGTTGTTGAGCTTCGCGCTGATTCGGGCCAAGAACGGGCCGAGACAGCGTTGGAAGTCCTCGAGATTGCGCCAAGACGGAACAAGAGGCTCCCAAGAGGGCCTCAAGACGGCCCAAGATGGCTCCAACGCGGCCCAAAAGAGCTCCAATTGACAGCCCAAGGAGGGCCCAAGAGTGTCCCAGGAGGCTCACAGGGAATCCCAGAACACGACAAAACGGGCCACAACGCAACATTTCATTCAAGAGAGAATGGATAAGGTAACCCAGGGTGAGATAAGGGCGAGGGGAAGATGGGAACGAAGAGGAGGAATAACGGATAAGCCAGCGAGATCTTGCGCTCTGAAGGTAATGCGTTTTCCGTCCCCGTGCTAAGCAGGCCCAACGGCCTTCGGCCAGCCCCGCCACCTTGCCGGTTCAGAGGCCTTTTGGATGCATATGAGGGTCTCGTTGGAAGCCTCTCGGGGGGACTCCTGCAGGGGCCTTGGGGCTTCTGGGGGGCCTCTTGGGGCGTCTTGGGGGCCTCTTGGGGCCTCTTGGCTGTGTGGACAGTGTTACCTCCCCGGCCGCCGATCTTGCGCTGTGCCGCTGCACCCTCCGGCAGCCTGGCGACGGAGGGAGAGAGGGATGGGATCGATCTACCGGGCGTCCTCGAGCCTTCTAGAATTCGCTTCGCTAGGGGATCCGATGGGTCTCCTATAGGGAATCCGATGGGCTTCCTAGGGACTCCTCTGGAGGTCTGGAGGAATCCTCTATAGGTTTCCTGAGGGCTCCCGTGGACCTCCTGAGGATTCTGGTGGATCCCTGAGGTATGCTCAAGTCGGGCCTGTCACCCAACAGGGGGATTTTCGACGAAAAATAAAAAAATAGTTCAAACATAGTCCAACAATAGTCCAAACATCATATGTGGATTATTCCTTGAATATGTTTTTGACCTTTTTGGCGTATTTTTGGGTGCGTTTTTCGTCGAAAATCAGAGCGTGAATTTCCTACCCCGCTTTCGCTTCCAAGCAAAACCAAGCCATACCACGCGCTTCCTCGTCAAGCGGCCTGACCAGTACAGGCCGCAATTTGGCATCGTTTGGTATCTCTTGGAAGCGAGGGTGGTCAAAAGCGAGGTAGGTTTGTTTTCCCCCTAGAAAATCCCCCTGTATGGGGGACACGCCCGACAGAAAGGTATACCGAACTCTGGGCCCGACGTGCCTCTCTCAGACGGCCGCCGCTCCGGGGCGAGGCGGGGCCCCCAGCTGCGGCGGAGGAGGCCTGGGGAGGCCTGGCGTCCAGGCGCGCAGCCCGCGCTCTGGCCGCGCACCCTCCCTCGCCATCCCTCCAACCCTCCATCCCTCCATCCCTCCTCCTCCTCCTCCTCCTCCTCCTCCTCCTCCTCCTCCTCCTCCTCCTCTCCTCCTCCTCCTCTCCCCTCCCCTCCCCCTCCCCCTCCCCCTCCTCCTCCTCATCATCATCATCATCCTCCTTTTCCTCCTCCTCCTCTTTTTTACCTCCTCCTCCTCCTCCTCCTCCTCCTCCTCCTCCTCCTCTCCTCCTCCTCCTCCTCCTCCTCCTCCTCCTCCTCCTCCTCCGCGTCCCGGCGGTGGGCGCCCAGCTGCGGCGACGGTCTTCGGGAGGCTCGAGGGCGCGGCCCGCCGCCCGCGCGCGAGGGCAGCAGGCGGCGCGCAGGCGACGAGCGCGCCGGCGGGAGGCCAGGGCCAGCAGGAGGAGGAGGAGGAGGAGGAGGAGGAGGAGGGGGAGGGGGAGGAGAGGAGGAGGAGGAGGAGGAGGAGGAGGAGGAGGAGGAGGAGGGAGGAGGAGGAGGAGGAGGAGGAGGAGGAGGGAGAGGAGAGGAGGAGGAGGAGGAGGAGGAGGAGGAGGAGAGGAGGAGGAGGAGGAGGAGGAGGAGGAGGAGAGGAGGAGGAGGAGGAGGAGGAGGAGGAGGAGGAGGAGGAGGGAGGAGGAGGAGGAGGAGGAGGAGGAGGAGGAGGAGGGAGGAGGAGAGGGGGAGGAGGGGGAGGAGGAGGAGGAGGGGGAGGAGGAGGAGGGGGGGGGGACGAAGGGCGACGAAGGACGGACGAGCGCGCAGGGCGGAGCGGGACAGGGCAGGCAGGCCAGGGCAGGCAGGCGGGCGGGGGCGGCGAGAGGGCAGCAGGCGGGGAGCAGAGGTGGAGGCTCGTGATGTTCCGACCTGATGTAGCCTTGATCGCCCGACAAAAATCTCGCACACCAGACAAAAGGTACCGAAACTCGAGGGGGTTCACGTCTCGAGCCCTGGGAGACACTCGTCCGACACTGTTTTGACACTCTTTCGACACTCTTCCGGGTACTCGAAATTATTTCTGGGATGTCGTCCTTAAGTACGATGAGAGCAACACAAGCGGAGGCCCGTCGGAGTCTGGCCGCGTGGAGTCTCAAAAATTATACATTGCGTGGAGCTCCCCATATGTGCATCTATTCGCATGGACCTGTCCGCCGTGAATGTCTAGGCGCAAGAGCTTTCGAATGTAAACGGGCTTCAGTTGTGACGGTCTGGTCATGAATCGAACTGAGAGTGCATTGGAGTATGAATGAGCCTCAGTAGTACGAGCGCGTCTCTGCGCATGAGCCTGGGTCCTCCTGGGGCCTTCTGGGGCCTCCTGAAACCTACTGGGGCTTCCTGTGGCCTCCAGGAGCCTCTTGGGGCCTCCTGGGGCCTCCTGGGACCTCCTCGGCAGGATTCGTGCCCCAGGAGAGGCCCAATCTATAGCAACAGACGTACATAAAACATTGCGGATTGGAGCCACAGGAGAAGGGGGCAATCTATAGGAACACACGTAAAACACCAAGGACTCGTGCCCCAGGAGAGGCACTGTAGGAACATATGTACATAGGAGAAGGACAATATGTAGAAACATACGTATAACATCAAAGATTCGTGCTCCAGGTGAGGCCCAATCTATAGGAGCATACGTAAAACACATGGCATTGGAGCCACTCCTGTTGCCTTCTGAGGCCTCTCTCGGGGCCTCCTGTTGCCTTCCGAGACCTCCTGGCGCTTCCTCTGGCCTCCTGGGGCCTCCTGTGGCTTCCTGAGGCCTCCCGGAGATTCCTGGGGCCTCCTAGAGCCTCTTGGGACGTCCTGTGGACTCATGGCCTCTTGAGTCTTTCTGTGGCCTCCTGATGCCTCCTGGGACCTCATGTGGTCTCCTGGGGCCTCATGGAGCCTGTTGGAGCCTCCTGTGGCATCCTGAGGAGAATCTGTGCCCACGAGTCTGGCCACCGATCCAGACATCCTCAACATCTGGCCCACCTGGGGGGTGAAAATGAGCGCCTCGCTCGAGACATCCTTCCTGATCCGAAAGCGAATGATGTTGGGACAGAAAACAGGCAAACCGCTTCAGACATCCCCACAAAACGGCCGCGAACGGGACCGTGAGGTAACCCCTGGCGGCTCCCCTTAGGAGGGTGAAAATGAGCGCCTCGCTCGAGACTTCCTCCAAATCTGCTCCGAAAGCAAAGGATGTTGGGACAGAGAACAGGCAAACCGCTTGAGACATCCCCACAACACGGCCGCGAACGGGACCGTGAGATAACCCCTGGCGGCTCCCCTTAGGGGGGTGAAAATGAGCGCCTCGCTCGAGACATTCTCCAATTCTGCTCTGGTAGCGAAGGATGTTGGGACAGAGAACAGGCAAACCGCCTGAGGCCCCACAAAACGGCCGCGAACGGGACCGTGAGATAGCCCCTGGCGGCTCCCCTCAGGGGGAGCTGATACCAGCGCCCCGCCTGAGACATCCTCACAATCTGCTCTGGTAGCGAAGGATGTTGGGACAGGAAACAAGCAAACCACTTGAGGCATCCCCACAAAACGGCCGCGAACGGGGCGTGCGTGAGTCTCATCATGAGTAAGTCTGAGTAGGAGTAGGTCTGAGTATGAGTAGGTCTGAGTAAGAGTAATTTTGTGTGTGAGTAAGTCTGGGTATGAGTAAGTCTGAGTGTTAGTAACTCTGTGTATGAGTAAATCTGGGTATGAGGAGGAGAGTGGAGGAGAAGGAGAAGGAGAAGGAGGAGTAGGAGGCGTCCAAGTAAGAACAAGAACCCCATCTTCAAGCGGTCAAGCGACGCATGCGACGCGTGAGAGCTGCGATGCAACATACGATGTGCACGGGAGGCGGAGGAGGAACGCCTCGCCTCGCGTTGAGGGCACGCTGGAAGGCTCCCAGCCGCGGGGACGGAGCGTTCCGCGGGCCAGGCACTGCTAGATTGCCCGCCACCGATGCTTAGAGCCCGCGCCGCGCGGCCCAGCCGGGCGGAAGGCCCAGACGGGCCTCTTGTAGGGCGGAAAAGGACAAAGGCAGGGAGGAGGAACAGGAGGCGGAGGAGGAGGAGGAGGAGGAGGAGCAGGAGGAGGAGCAGGAGGAGCAGAGGGAGAGGAGCAAGTTTGGCAATCGATCCCCCCGTCCAACCTCGGCCGCTCCATCCTCCCCGCCTGCCACCTGCTGCAGGTCCTTCGGGGCCAGCTCCAGCTCCACGTCGGTGCTCCGGGTGGTTCGGCTCTTCCGCATGACGAGGGCCGCTCGCGTCGCCCGCCTGTTGAAGGCCGGGGGGGCGCTCGCGCGCGCCGAGCGGGGCGGGGCGGGGCGGGGGCAGTCAGAACTGGGCGTCACAACGGTTTCACAGCGGGCGGCGCTGCCCCGCGCCGGGCCTCGAGGTTACCACGGATCGATGCGGCCCGAAGCACGGCGCAGGAGAATGGGGTCCAGGGCTCCGGTGGTGATTTCGCGCTGCGCGCGCTGCATTCTTCCGCAGCGTCGGAGGCGGGAAGGGATCAGGAGCTCAGAGGAGGACAGGGTATCCATACCTCTGCCCTTCGCCTGTTTTGTTCCCTTCTTGGGGGGGCCTCTTGGGAGGCCCTCGTCGTCACCGCCGGATTCGCCTCGAAGTCCTGGTCAGGACGCACCCCGGGAGCGGTCCCAGGAGCAGCGGCATCGGTGTGCCTGCCGCTTTCCCCAGGAGCGGGGCCCGGCCCGAGGCTTGCCCCCTCGGCGTGGCATCGCTCGGGCGCGTGCGATTTTTTGTGTTGTTGTCGGCGAGGGCCCTCGAGGGGCATCCTTCGAGGGAGGAAAGCCACCCTGGGAGCGGTCCCGGGAGCGGCGGCATCGGTGTACCTGCCGGTTTCCCCGGGAGCGGGGCCCGGCCCCCCCCCCCCCGGGGGAGCGAGGCCTGCCCCCTCGGCGTGGCATCGCTCGGGCGCGTGCGAGTTTCTTTGTTGTTGTCGGCGAGGGCCCTCGAGGAGCATCCTTCGAGGGAGGAAGGCCACCCTGGGCCGGACAATTGGCGTTCACGAAACGGCCTTGGGCGTTTACGGAACAGCGCTGCCCTGTTCGATTCCTTCAGCGGGGGCGCTTACTGAACGACTTCGCGTGTCGGGGTGGATTTTGTGACTTCGGCGAGGGCCTTCGAGGAGCACCCTCGACCATCGGGCCGAAAAAACACGCACGGAGCCGGCGAATATCTACGTGTCGTGAGGCAGGGCGGGGGGATCGGATGGGACGCTTCGAGCGGACAAGGCTGGCGCCTTCCAGCGCGGAAAAGCAGGACGTGCACGTACCTGAATCCACGCTGGTGCCGAGAGTTCGCATGGCGCGAATGGTCGCATCACGCGGCCGTTCTCGCGGGTCAGGGGGGCCGCGTTCACGTGCATGGCTGGGCGCGTGCGTCCTTTGTGGGTCCCCCAGGGTGGAGACCCCGCGCCGCCCAGCCAAAAGGCGCGTGGCACAGGGTCCCGTGGCCGCCTCGGAGCGCCCTGCCGGGAGCGAACGGGGGGAGCGAACGGGGGGGAGCGGGGGGGGGGAGCGGGGGAGCGGGGAGGAGCAGGGAGTAGCGAGGGGATCCGGGAGGGAGGGAGGGTCGGGCGAGCGGGAGGAGCGCGCTCAGAGGCGACGGTAGGGGCGAGTAGCCCAGGGGAGAGCAATGCAGGTAGTCAGGTGCGCCGATGATCGATGCCTTTGAAGAGGCTCCCGGGCGAATACGTGTAGTGCCCGCCCCTGGGCTATTCGCCCCTATCGTCGCCGCCGAGTCACGCAGGGAGCATGAGGGAGCGGGGGGGGAGAGGGAAGGACAGGCGGCTCTTGAGGAGCGGGGGCCGTTTCTGTTTGGCTTCTGCGGCCGCGTGCCCGCGGCCAGCGGGGCCGGGGCGGGGAGAACGGAAGCCGGCACTGCTCGCTGCGGGTGCCTCCCCCTGGCAGAAAAAAGCAGGCCGAGGCAGTCCTGCCAGCCATCCTGGCCCCCCGTGCGGAGCCTGCGACGTGTTTCGTTGCCCCCCAGGTCTTCAGGCACGTGAGTTCGGGGGCGGAAAAGAGGGGGGTGATGACTAGGGGGGGGATATCATGGCGGGGGCCATGAGATTTCCCCAGACCTCATGGCGCCTCTTCTTATTTTATTACGTCCCTGGCCTCCCCGCTGAGCCGCGCACATGCCGCTGGTCATGATTTTCCCCCCCCCCTCTTGGACACCCCCCTCTTGGCCGCTCCTGATGAGTCCCAAGCGTGGCCGCTGGCAGGCCCCAGGACGCGCTCAAGCAGCACAGCGGGCGCGTCGGAGAGTGCACAGCGTCGGGGGCGGAAAGCTTGGGCTGCATTTCTGTGGGGTTGGTCCATCTGTTTCCGGGCATGTCCATTCCACGAAGGGGAGTGAGTCTGCTCCATCTGCTCGGAGGAGGAGGAGGAGGTTCGAACAAATATCGCCAGATTATGCTTTTGCAGTTGGGACATCCAGGGGCCCGTTTGGGCCCCCTCGGGACCGTCACAAGTCGATTCGGAGTGGAAAACAGCCCATGAGCGACCAGAGAAGGGTCCATGGACTGTTTTCAGCGGTCTTTGGGTCGAGACCCAGGAGGGAGAAGGAAAGGCAGTAGGGAGGGCAGCAGCAGGAGGAGGAGCAGCAGCAGGGAGAGGACGGCAGCGACGAAGCTCGAGGATCGAGAGGCTCCAAGTTCTTGGACGGTATTGGCCCTCTTCTGTGCCTCCCGGACGCCCTTGCACGCCTCTGGAAACGTCGGGGGAGGAGGAGGAGGAGGAGGAGGAGGAGGAGGAGGAGGAGGAGAAGGACCCGTAAATTCCAGCGTCCTGGGCAAAACTTCGCAGAGGTTGTTCGCCATGTTCGGCCTCCGGGAGCGCGTTGTGGGGCTCGAGGGTTGTCAAAGAGCAATCAGGGACGAAAGGCTGTCATGCGATGGGGTCGAGAGCTCCGAAGCCTGAAGCCATGGTTTAGCGAGACACATGGCATCGAATACTAGGGGGGAAAGTGGACTAAGTGACGAGGAGCGACATGTTTGAACATGGCAAGCCCTTTTTGACCTCTGGAGGCCTCCTGGGAGGAGAGCAGGAGGAGCAGGGGAAGAAGAGGATGAGAGAAGAAGAGGAAAGATGAAAGGAGGAGAAGGGAGAGGTAGGAGGAGAAGGGGAGGGAGAGAATGAGAGAGAGGGCGAGATAATCGAATAGACATACAGATACGGAGAGAGAGAGAGAGAGAGAGAGAGACAAAAAAAGCGAGAGGGAGAGAGTAGGATTGAATCTTGGACAAACCATGACCACATACTTCCGGAGATCTGCCGGGATTTCTTGAATCGGCAGCACTTTCAGCGGGGGCGGCATCCAGTGCCCGTCCAAGAAATCCGCGCGGACTTCCAATAGTGTATACTTATGCCCGTTTTGCATTGTGGATGCATGCAGGCACTACGGCGACGATGGGAAAACCCTTTTTACGCTGTCCTCAGCCAAACGAGACTTCAACCCCTCATATCCCTCAGAGCGGGGCGCGCGCTCCATTGGCATCATACCACGGGGGCCTCGCTGGCCGCCTTCGGGTCGACCCCCGGTGCCTTTTGGCCGCCTTGCACGCCTTCGGACCGCTGGGCCGACAGCGGCCCGTCAGCCGACCGTGCAGCTACGGTCTTGAACTGTTGGAGAGCGTGTCGCGGCATGCTGGCCCTTTTCCAGTGTTCCAGGCGTCGGCGCCCCGAGCTGTTCCCAGCCGCCCGCCCCGCGGAGCGGCGCGGCGCGCGGTCCGCTCGCACGGCACAGCAGGCCGCCCGGGCAGCCGCCGCGGCACGCGGAGCAGACGTGCGCCGCTCGGGCGGGTGCCAGCAGCCGCGTGCGAGCGAGGCGCCTGGGCCCACAGGATCTATCCTGTTCGCGCTCACACGTGCGTGCAGAGCTCCAGCTGCGCGCGTGCACGCTTTCATTCGTGCAGAGTTCGTGCCTCATGGTATCGTGGAAGTCCGGCTCCGTTTGTTCGCTTGTCGTGCCATCTTTTTGCGTGCGGGCCGCACGACAGTAGAGCGCAGACAAGCATGGCGTTGGTGTCGGCATCGGAAATATTTACCTGCCTGCGGCAGATCCACCGCTAAGCCAGCGCGACACCAACAATCATGCAGGAATGTTCGACCGAGCTTTCCTGAACAGGCTCAGTACCACCATCTGTTGACAGTCTGGGATGCATAGCTTCGATGCCATGGCATGGCGCGGTCGTAACGTGCACTGTCTCTGAATTGTCTTATGGAGGCTTCTTGGGAGGTCATTTAGGGCTCCTTGTGGTCCTCGTGGTGGCCCCTCTGAGGTCTTCTGGGGGGCTTCTTGTGGATATGCTGCGGGTCTGGGGGCCGTCGTGGGCGCGTTGGGTCTACGGAGCTCTCCCGAAGAGGCTCGACCGCACCATTTCGGGTCCATTGTGTCAGGTTTTCTCCGACATGCTCGCGTTGTGAAAAATCGCGTCGGGCGGTTTTTAGCATTCTTTGGCCTCCGGGGTCGCTTCGCGGGGCCCCAGGATCGTCAACAAACAGCTCGGGATGAAAAAGATCGGCCTTGGGGAAAGGGTCTGGACCTCTGTGACTCTGTATTGACAAACATCTGGGCATCGTATGTCTGAGTTGGGGCCGCCATGGACCCTCTCGGGGCAATCTTGGCACGGTCGTGGGTCGTTCGGGGCTTCCCTTCGAGGCTTTCTTGGGCCGTTTGGGGGTTTGTGTTGGGGCCTCCTCTTCTGGGCCGAACCTGGCACCATGGAACAGCACGTTTTGGCGGCGTTTTTTCAAACGTGCATGCGGGACTACGATGAAGACGACGACGATTGCGACGACGACGCCGACGACGACGACGACAGAAGACGACGACCACAACGACGACAACGACGGAATATGACGACGACGACAGAAGCAGACGACGACGACGACGAGGACTGAAGACGACGACGACAACGACGGAAGACGACGACGACGACAACGATAACGAGAACAAGGGAATCCGACGATGACGACGGAAAACGACGACGACGACGATGGAAGATGACGACGACAATGACAACGAGAACAAGGGAATCCGTCGACGACGACGATGGAGACGACGATGGACGACTACGACGACGAGGGCGACGGAAGACCACGACGACGTCGACGGAAGACGACGTCGACGACGGCGGCAGAATTTCACTACGACGACGACGACGACTGAAGACGACGGAAGACGACGACGATGAGAGAACACAACGACGATGACGACGACGACGACGGAGCGTCGACGACGTCGACGACGATGGAATA